TATTTTAGGCATGTTAAAACTTAGCGACATTTGGTTAAAATATTCCTAGTGAGCTGGGTGGTGGTGGTGCACACCTTTAATCCCAGCACTCAGGAGGCAGAGGCAGGTGGATCTCTGTGAGTTTGAGACCAGCCTGGTCTACAAGAGCTAGTTCCAGGACAGCCTCCAAAGCCACAGAGAAACCCTGTCTCAAAAAACCAATATATATATATATATATATTCCTAGTGATAATTAGCTCCATCTCATATGCACAATATGCTTAAGATGTGATTACATCAAAACTCTTTGTAAAGTATGTGAGACACCTGCCATAAAGATGGGTTCTGTAGATTGACAAGCTCACAATAAGGGTACGGGGATGTGAGGGGGAGATCCTAGGTGGTCTCGCCCCACAGAGAGCGGCAAAAGGTCACCAGGCTATTAACCACATCCACTCCCAGACTTCTAGGTGGACAACAGGTTATGCTTTTCTTCGTTGAAGGAACAAACCTGTGTGCTTAACATTCCTGGTTTTCTTAGTGCTTTTCTGTGAGCGCAAGGACTCTATGCCTCCCACACCTTCTGGAGATTGAACTCAAGTCATCAGGCTTGCTTGGCAGCACACTTTTCCCTGCTCAGCCATCTCACTGGCCTTTTCCTTTTAAAAAATATTTACTTACATATTCAGTTAGTGCATACCTGTCTGTGTGTGAAAGTGGAGGCCAGTAGAGGCAGTCAACCACTGGGTTACTTACGGGAGTATGGATGAAGGGTCACTTATCTCTTTTCATTTTTTATTTTGAGACAGGGTCTTACTGAGTTTCCCAGGCTGGCCTCACACTCACTCTGTAGATCAGGCAGGCTAAAAACATGTGATCATACCTGTCTCAGCTTCTCCAGTAACTGTGATTACAGGGCTGAGTCACCGGGCCTGATTAAATCCAGCCTTCTGAACTGAAGATTCCTAAACCAAGGCATTTAACAGGTAAAAAGACAAACCCGCTCTCACCCAAAAAGAAAAGCCCCTAGTTTAGTAGACAGACTTTTCTGCATTTTTTTCTCTTCCCTCCCTCCCATCCCACCCTACCCCCAGCAGTAGCTGGCTTTATTGTGAATACAAACATAAAGGCAGAAGGACTCTATATTTCTTTGTGCGTGTAGACTATCACTACCTGTCACAACCATGACATACAGAATGATAAACATCTTATTCCTGCAAGTAGAAAGTTACTACTTATGCCGGGCATTGGTGGTGCACACCTTTAATCCCAGCACTCGGGAGGCAGAGGCAGGCGGATCTCTGTGAGTTCGAGGCCAGCCTGGTTTCCAGAGTGAGTGCCAGGATAGGCTCCAAAGCTACACAGAGAAACCCTGTCTCAAAAAACAAAACAAAACAAAACAAAAGTTACCACCTGTGACCTTATCAAAGCAGAGTGGGAATACACAGGTACATTCAAATTTAAAACCCTAACAGAGCTGGGCATGGTGGCACATGCCTTTAATCCCAGCACTCGGGAGGCAGAGGCAGGTAGATCTATGTGAGTTCAAGACCAGCCTTGTCCTCAGAGTGAGTTCCAAGACATCCAGGGTTACACACAGCAAAACCGTGTCTCAACAACAACAACAACAAAACCCCAAAACACCCCCCACCCCACCCCAGCAACAAAGCAAAACAATCCAACTCCATCAGAAACACCAGGCTGAGAACTTGTTGTCTTTGTTGCTGTTATTTTTGAGACAAGGTCTCACTGTGCAACCTTGGCTGCTCTGGGAATAGTTGGCCTCAGATTCACATCAATCTGCCTCTGCCTCCTAAATGCTGAGATTGAAGGCATGCGCCATCATGCCAGCCCCTTGAGAACTTTTCAAACAGAGTAGACCAATGAAGGGTACAACAGCCTCATCTGGGTCCCCTAAAAAGAATGCCTAACACCTTTCAGTGACCAGTCAACCAATCACAGAATACACGTGTCAAGAATTCAACAGAGAATTCACTGTCCTCATCATGATTCCCTCTGTTTAACTCGACCCATTTAGACAGCCATGCCTGTTTGTCCACCCATACCTAGGAGGGTCTTGTGCCTCTGCAGCCCCTACGCCTCCGCAGCTTGGCTGTGAAGCCAGGCTCTAAGACCCTCCAGCAGTTCTCCAACTGTGTTCACTAATATCACATATAAAAACGTGCAATAACTCCTTGCATCTGTATCAGCTCTCCACCTCTCCTTCCAGCAAGGCTTCTTTGAATGATGCTGTAGCCTCTTAAATTCTTTTGTAGTCATTTTGTAACCTATGTAATACATTGTGTGTGCATATATTTATGTATACACATACATTTACAAATATATTGTTATGTAAAAGTAAGAGATCTGAATTAATCTTAGCAATTAAGATTGGGATCATGGGGCTCAGTTGGGTCAGTGATTGCCTAGCATTTATGAATACCTGGGTTCAATCCCCACCATTGTATAAACCAAACATGATAGTACAAGCCTATACTCCCAGAATGGAAGCAGGATCATCTGAAGTTCGAAGTTGTCTTCAGCTATGTAGTGGTCAAGAGGCCAGTCTGGGCTACATGAGACCCTTCTTGTAACAGGGCTCCAGACCTCATGACAGAAGTACTGTACCATTCAGGCTGTAAAACTCAGCACATAAATAGCCCCACCTGCCAAAACTAAAACAAAAGCCTAAAGTCCACAGTTCTGGAGAAGTCTCTAAATGGATTAAATCTTGCTATTTGGCTTCTGTAGTTCCTCTTCTGGTTAACTGTTCTTGTTAACTGAAGAATGTCAACCCAGAACATGGTTTTGTGCTTTAAAGCTCTCCCTGAGAAAGGCTCAGGGCTACACTGGGATCCCAAACGCCCAGTGTAGTTGTCAGACAGCTAATAAAGACTTTCTTTCTTTCTTTCTTTCTTTCTTTCTTTCTTTCTTTCTTTCTTTCTTCTTCTTCTTCTTCTTCTTCTTCTTCTTCTTCTTCTTCTTCTTCTTCTTCTT